AAGAATGACTACCCCTTCCATTCCATTATATTCTTCATACTCTGGAGGCTTCGTTTGTATGGGTATTATATAATATCTTGAGAGAGTGTTAGTTAACAGTAGGTATTATTGTCCTATTTTATTGGCGACTATAGTGTAAGCAGTATTGTTATAGGTGTCTGTCGATATCTTATAAATGATAATCTCTAGAGATATAGCTAACGATGTTAAGACCTAATAATTGATAGGAATAGTGATTCTATATATTTGGAAGGATGGTAACCTACGTCTGACGATTATATAAGCATTTCAAATATAATATCTATATATATAGAATTATAACCTTCTAAAGATCGACTAGAAAGGAAAATAAATAAAATAAAGACGATTAGCTATTAATCAAAGTTAAATTACTTAGAAAACTTAAAGAATAAAAGAATCTAACGTTTAGAGTCGACTTTAGAATATAGTCAAAAAACTCAAAAATATATTTTTATTAAGTCGAAAATATAACTATCATTAAGATAAACTATAACAAAAGATTAAACTTTCAAAACAATCTAAAGACTAATTAGACTTTGATTAGTTATTAAAACTTTAATTTTAATGAATATCTATATTTTTCGGAAAGATAGTTGGAAGGTAGCTAGATATGCTTTTGCAACCTATATATACTGTCACTTTACTTTATCGACTCGACTATGATAAGATTTCTTAAGAATTGACACCTTTTAAGGACTGATTAGGCTTTATTTTCACCGATAAAAATAGTCTAAAACCTAGAAAACCAAAATAGCCTATATATATAGTCCTTTGATTTTGACTTTTATATATATAATTCTGCTTAGGAGGATATTAAGTAGAGAGTTATAGAATTCTGATAGAACTACCACCTAAAGCTTTAGAATCGTTAATTTCAATCTGTTGAGACCTTGAAAAAGAAGCTTTACTAACAAATTGAATATATTAGATGATTTAATAGTATTTGCCAATATAGGAGAAAATGTTGAGGCTAAACTTTAACGATTTATATAAGGAAAAGACTATAGAGACTTTGACAAAGATTGTCCTAAGACTATCCTAACCGTCGGCTTCTACTGATTATAGAATAAAGCGATTGGCTACTTTCACTAGGGAATTATCTAAGGATATTCGAGTGAAAAGTAAGTAAACTTATTTTGTTATCGCTTCTTAAAGAATAGATAATATTCTTCGTTAGTTATTGACGACAATCGAATAATAATAGTAGCTATCATTCTTATTATTGATACTTTAGGATTTGATCATAAGGCTAACTATAATAAAATAAGAAACGACGATTATGATAACTATAATCTAAACTTTAATAGATTTTAAAAGACTTTATTAGATTCTAAAGACTTTAAAGACCTTATTAGACTTAAGATGATGTTAAGATAGTATATCGAAACATTAAGTAAAACCACTATAATACTCTACTACTTTAGTAGATAAAGCTTTACTATATAAATGAATAAGCTATAGCTATCACTATATACTTTGACGACTAGTAGGGTCTAGACTTACTAATATAAGTAAAAATAATTTAAGGAATGTTTTGTTAAGGATGGTACCAACGCTGGCCTTTAATAGGCATTCTACCTAACAAAGAGATAAGAAGAATTCTACTGATTAGAGAAGAAAGAATAGGATAAGAATCGATAATATCTTTGATCAATATTAAGAATACTAAAAAAGCTAAAGATTAAATCGATTCTTGACAATAAACGACAAAACATATATATATAATATATCATTATTAAAGAAAAGAAGATAGTCTAAATCTGACGATATATCTTCAAATTTGCAAGCTTTATTTAATAAACCGAATAGGAATCAGTCTTATTTACTTGATTATCGAAGCTTTTTATCGATTGCCTTCATAAGGTATCGACAGAATCAATTTAGATTAGATCTTAAGCCTTCTATATTATCATCTATATTAGTGGTGCTAACACCACTTGAAGGCTTCTAACTATCAGACCCTTTAGATGATATATCATTAGCATCGGACCTTACTATAGGTCTTTAAGATGATGATAAGTTTGATTATAATATTAAGGGAAAGTATAGTTTGAAATTCTGTTAAATGCTTAAGCTTGATACTATAAAAGCTTTTCAGTTTAATGGTTAGAATGTTATCAAATTCCTTTGCTATTAGGAAGATATAGTCGAAGATTATAAGCTCTCTAAAGATTGATAGGTCCGATAGATATACTTATACTATATTAGGAAAGCAAAATTGATTATAGAATAGATTGTCAAATTGGCTATAAGGAAGGAGGCTGGAAATCGTCTTGCTTATATAAAAGAGGAACTATATAGATGTTTCTAAGCCTTCGATAAGGAGATAATATATAATTATACTATAGACTTAATCATCTTTCTTCAAAAGCTCTTACCTAATAATCTAAACAGTCTAAGTAATAATATCTTTAAATTCGAAAATCTACTTACTTATAATAATATCCTAAAAATAGATAAGTAATATATATACTAATTCTTTATAATTCTTTCTTTCGACTATTAGTTAAGAATTTAGAATAAGCTAAATATCTTCTTTGATAAAGTATAAGATATATTATATGATTAGATCCGTTAGATACTTTGGAAAATCCTAGAGGACAATATTAGAAGAATAGTAGCTACTTTAGAAAGGTATACCTTACTATACCTATAGTCTTATATAGCTACCACTCCTTTTGGTTATCCTTTCGCTATAATTGACATTTTAAGAGTCTCTTCGAGTGAATAGTATAATGATCATTTATAGTCATAAGTTTTATACTTTGCTAAGGCTTAATTATGAGTATAAACACTACTGTCTATAGAAACTATTATAACCTCCGAATTGGCTGATATGATGGCTATATTAAAAATCTAATGTTAGGAAATCGAAGCTTTAAAGACTGAAGTAATCAATATGAAGGATGGTAGGTAAGTGATTAGTATAGCTTCGAACTATTATAAAGTAGTTTATTATCCTTTATTATATTTTTATACTATTGTATCTATTTACTATATACTGTCTAGATAGATTGATTTGTCTTAATAAGTATATGATTTTTTTTATAGAGGAGTCTAATATAGGTAAGGTGGGTATAGCTAACAATAGTGTCTGATAGGTAAAATAAAGTGTTTCTATTATAGGAAACTAGAAGAGTAAATAAACAATTATAATGAATATTATAATGATTAGCTTTATAAGGTCTATTACTATGATAGTGATATATAATTATTCTTTTCTGAAAAGCCTATAGATATTAGAAATATCCTGAATATTCCTAAAGCATTGATGGAGCGATAGAGAAAGAAAGGAAAGATAAAGAATATTATATATTCTTAGCTTACTTAATATATGTCCTTACCTAGCATTGCTGCCTTACGATAGATAATTAAAGGAGATAATCTACCAAACATATATATTAGTATAAAATATCTGATAGTGTCTAATGATATAATTGACGAGGAAATACGATCTATTAAGAAACCACCGCCAGGCTAGAAGGCTAAAATCATCTTTTAGGGTAAGAGTATCGTTACTTAACGAACTGATTAGAGATTAGAAAGGAATGTATCGGCTATCTTATAATAAGTAAAGATAGAAGAAATCAAATAAGCTATATATATTGATATAAAAGTATAATTTGTCGTCGACTATAATAGTAGACCTTCCTCCACTATAGACCTAACGATCTAAAGCTTTATATAGATAAGGTATAATCGATATGATTCTATGTCTTCTTTCTTAATAATTGATTTGTTTGCTTTTAAAGATAAACAAATGCCACTCTTATCATTCGTTTAAATCGCCAAAAAGTATAAGACCAAGCATAATATATCATTATAAATCGTCGAAATTGATGATATAATGGTTAATATAGTAGGAGAAGATAAAATGAAGGTTGATCAGCCTTTAGATAATAATAAAAATCGAAATGAAAGTAAATTAGGGAAAATAAGACTATGACTAAATCTGGAAGGGATAGAAGAAACTTTTTCGGAAGATTATGACGGTTCTTCTAGATTTGGCTCTAGTATTAGCTCTAGCTATGTTAGCTCTAACCTTTTAACTAAGGTAGGAAAGAACAATTTTATAATAACTATAATACTTGATGGAGATATAAAATCAATAGAGAATACTAAGGAAAGGTTAAGAAAGAGAATTAGCTGAGAAAAAGTAGGAAGTAAAGTATAAGGAACGAAAATTATGTTAGTATTATAAATGTAAGAATAACTTATAGAAAGGCTCTTAAGCGAATTGTTTATAACTACTATCAAGATATTAAGTATCAATCTCCTACTTTTG